GAGAGAGAGAGAGAAGGAGAGCGGGGGCGGATACCGAGTGTTTGGTGTACGCGTAACGCGATCGCTATGTGAAAGTCTTTAATGAGGATTTAAACGCCGGCGCAAAGTATCTCGAGGTCCCCCGAATGTAGATCACGAGGATAGGAGCGCACAATAAGACGGATGACTGTGGTCAAACCGTAAGATTACACCGCAAGTACGCGGCCTCTCCTCTCTTTGCGGCTCGGCTCGCAGTCTCGCTGACAGTTCGCGGACAGCTGACAGCATGGGCGCGAGTCATTGCAAAACCTTCCGAAGAAGCTCGAGCCGGGACAGATCCGCCGCAACAGGTGTGTACCTCGCCTAGAAAAACTAACTGTGAAAAAGATTGCGAGAATCTGTAAACTCTGCGACAAAATGGCCTCTATCGTTTCTATACGTCGCAATATTATGCTCCTACTGTATATCTAAATTCTGAGAAAATTTGGAGGAATTTGGAATTTCGTGAGAGTAAAAAAAAAAAACTGGAAAAATCTGAATACATTTTCTTACGTAATATAATGTAATATCTTGAATATGAAAAAAAATGTATGTAATCTACTTTTGTGATAACCAAACATTCTTAGAATTTACATCTGCTGTTGGTACTGTCATTAAAATTTCATCGCACTTAGAACTGTCTTAATAACTATTTAAATTTCTCGATAAGAGAACACGAAAATTTTACATGAATTTCATATCAAATTCATGTACATGTTTTATATAAATTATATAAAACATTTTTCATTTTAACAAATTCAAAATTTAATTAATCGTTAATCCTAATTCGCAATCAAAAAACTTTGTAATCGACTTCTCATTTAGTTATTTTCCTTTCTCTTTTCATCTTTTTCTCTTTCTCTTTCTCTTTCCCCGCTTCAACTTGCGATTATCGATTCGAGCGTCTTTTTTTTTTTTAATTTCGAGAGTCCTCCTAATTTTTTTTTGCATTCTTGCAAGAAGCGTACAATTTCATTCAGTTACACAATTATGCTGTATAGTATTAGGGTGACCAGCAAATAATGAAAAAAGCGTATGTTGTGCTATGTGGCACGAGGACAAACTCAACGATCGAATTGCTCCGACAGTGCTGTACGAGGATCGATGCTGCGGTTTATCAGGACAATCGCTCTTGGACGAAGGTGGACCTTCGCCTTGACGGACATATCATTTTCGTGTCGTTTCCAGGGTAGGCCTTCGTCATTTTTGGGCACGCGAATACACGAAGAGAATATTTTCGTCGTTATTAAAATAGTAATGCACGTCGAAGTGATCGCTCGTCGATCGGCATAAAAATACACGCTTCCTTCGTGGAGGTTATAGCTATAAGGAAATACGAATGGAGCAAAGAATCGTACGTCGGTTTCTATGGACGGGCCTGTGTAACAAGTTACGTTCACTTTCCGATACCGCGCCGTCTAAAAGTGGAAACATGAAGCGGTCGTCGGTCGCAAAAAAGGCAGCGGAAACTCGTTCGCGTTGCATTTCGCTCGAATAAAAAGCGATCGATACGTATGCAACGCGGAATAAATAGACGTCGACATTTCTTATATCTGATGACTTCCATGAATTTTTTATATATGTTTTTTCCTCATCTACTAATTATTAGGATAATTAGCTTTTATTCTTATTTCCTGTGTCGATATCTATCAATGTTTTTTTATTTGTTTTTTTTTTTATTTCGGAATATCGAGCGATGCGAGATGTCTATGTCACGTGCGAGTCGCGTTGCGTCGACGCAATGCGAAAATACGACGAAGCGAGGAAGTCCGATTATCCTCTGACGAAGCTGTTGCTTCACACGTTTGTCTTACTGGGCAATCTGGGAAACCTAAGGGAATTATCACCGATGATCGTTACTCATTAAGTCGCTGATAACCCGCTGAAGTAGTACGACTACTGATGCACGTACGAGATAACGAGAGATAGGTGGAATTCCCCGCTCTTTTCTTTGATATTTCCTTATGTTTATTGTATCGATCGTATGCTGCGTTACATAATCGATGCTGGTCATCATTTGTTATATGCATCTTTGTCGAGGATTCTTATTTTACTATGGAGATACCTGATGATGCGACTGACCGAAGGTACCACCTGTCATGGTGACTATTTTATTATTTACAGGCTGCTATGAAGACACAAAGAATTTGAGTGAATCTCTATTGTTCTTTTGCATTACCTCGCATTAGATGTACAGTTAAAGAGTATCATTTCTGTTTTCGTTTTTATCTTTATACAGAGATTTAAAATTATGACTAAATTATGACTTAGATTTGTACTATTTTATAACTTCTATAACCCTTTTCATCTCTGTTTTGATTATATCAAAATTGAATATCACATAACAGCAAAGAGAAAGGAAATTATAGTAAACACAATATAGCAGAAAATATCTCACGCGAATATTTAAAATAATTTGCTGTATTATATTTCTGAATCACCTGTTGCCATACACCTCTCTAAAATATATATTTATAATGAAAATTGTTGTAAATTAATACTAAAAATAACTGAATTGCTTCAGGCTCTTTAGAACAACATGATTATATCGAGGATGTGGTGTGCAAGCAGGAAGATATCAACGAAAATGAAATGAAACTGCTGTCCCTTGGAGGTAACGAAAGGAAAATTTTGCTGGTGAAACAAAAAGGAGAGTTACACGCGATTGGTACCAAATGCACGCATTATGGAGCTCTCTTACACACTGGTGCGTTGGGAGAAGGACGAGTGAGATGTCCGTGGCATGGCGCTTGTTTCAACATTAAAACTGGAGACATTGAAGATTATCCAGGCTTGGACTCTTTACCATGCTACAAGGTACCTCATTTACTGAACTCATTAAAGTTTCGTTCCGTGCCTTTAAATTACACATTTGTTCAATATGTCGTGTATCACTTTGATAGGTTCGCATAGATGAAGCCGGCCTCGTCCACGTAAGAGCGAAATGCAAAGATCTAGATGTTAACAAACGCAGCAAAGCTATGTCTACACGTGATCCTGAAAATACGAAAACAGTTGTAATAGTCGGCGGTGGACCAGCGGGTGCGACCTGTGCGGAAAGTCTGCGACAGGAGGGCTTTACAGGACGCATTGTTATGGTCTGCAGAGAGAATGTGGTACCATACGATCGAATAAAAGTATCTAAAATATTAAATTTTGATGTTCAAAAGGCAGTATTACGACCACCTACATTTTACAACGACCACAAGATCGAGACAAAACTTGGGATAGAAGCGACAGGTAAAAAAATAAGTCTCGACCTCAATATATACTTATTACTATGTATACTTATTACTTAAGTCATACAGTCTCACATTATTTTCATTTTATTTTATCTGTTACAGATCTAGACACTACTCAGAATATCGTCAAACTGAGTAATAATGAGAACTTGAAGTACGATTATTTATTTATGTGCACAGGCAGTAAGCCAAAGATGCCGAGTGTGCCTGGAGCAAATTTATCAAATATTTTTGTCCTACGAGATTACACCGATTCACAAGGCGTAAATGCCATCCTATCTCCAGAAAAGCATGTAGTTGTACTAGGATTAAGTTTTATCGCCATGGAAGCCGCAGCTTATTGTATCGATAAATGTGCATCTATCACGATAATAGGACGCAATATTGTGCCTCTCAAAGGGATATTTGGTGCAGACATCGGTAATATAATTAGACAACAGTACGAGGCAAAAGGTAACAAGTCATGCATGCATTAGCATACATTAGGCAAACTTTCATGGTAATAGAAGTAATCATAATTATTGTTTCTAGGTGTGAAGTTTATTTTTCAAAACAACATCAAGCAATTTATTCCAAAAGAGAATGAAGAAAATGTTTTAGCTAAAGTCGAACTTATGGATGGTCAAATTCTGCCAGCGGATATAGCTATCATTGGAATAGGATCCACTTTCTATACAGATTGGATAAAGAAATCGTCTGTTCAAATGAAAGACAATGGTTCTATATCAGTAAATAAGGTATAATATTCCAAATATATTCTAGTTGATATATTCTAGTTTGATTATATCATTTCATATTTTAATAATTGGATATTAATTGTATTATAGTACCTAAGGACAAATGTAGAAAATATATATGCTGGAGGTGACATAGCTTACGCGCCAATATTTGGATCTGACGATACATTAGCTGCGATAGGTCATTTTTCTTTAGCTCATTATCACGGCAAAGTTGCAGCTCTAAACATTTGCGGTAAAGAAACTGCTTTGAAGACTGTGCCATTCTTTTGGACGAACTTATTGAATAAAAATTATCGATATGCAGGTAATTTTTCGCATTAATATAAAAACGAATTTCATAAAATGATTAATATAAAAATAAATTTCAATAAAATTTAGTGATTTTCTTGATAAGTAATTTTTATCATTTATTTTCAGGCTACGGAAAACCTACTAGCATAAAGATTCATGGCTCCCTCGATAAACTGGAATTCTTCGCTTATTATCTTAAAGATGGCAAAGTAATAGGAATTGGCAGTGTCAATGCCGATCCTGTGGTAGCAGATTTTGCTAATCTGCTTTACGAGAGAAAAGTATTAACAGAAGAAGAAATTAATACAGATCCATTTGGTTGGATGAGAAATAAGCCAAAAGACATGGTAGTCCGATTTCAAGCGAGCTTTTTGGTTAATGTTTGATGCGACTTTAATTGTTTTGTACAAGTAATATAGTTTAATGCCTCAGAACAATGTCACAGTATTCATTTCAACTTTTACTTTATAGATTCTTTGTGTACTTAAACTTATATAATATATTTTATGATACAATCTTTATATTAAGAAATAATATATATAATATATTCAATATTATACTGATTTAAAATGTTATCAAAAAGAAGAAAGAAAATTAAATAATTCCTGGATCCAACATTAATTTAATTTACAGAAATCTAAAGTCTAAAAGAGAATTACTCATGTAAACAGAATTACTCAACAAAACAGAATTACTCATGGCCATAGAAAGTTTTCAGTCCCACCCTTCTGTAACTCTCAAATGGCTTAGACGTTCGGCAATAGTAATTTCTTTTTGGAAGTTTTCGTATCTAAGTCGGATCATCTTTGCTGTATATGTTTCCTGTTTCTTCCCCTTCAAAGCTTCTTCCTTTCTTAAAGCTTTCATGTGACCGGAAGATTGTTCAGGCGTAAGATAAGGATGCCGTAGAATCAACATGTTTCGCTCTTCTCTCTCAAAGTCCATCTTCATCTTTAATAAATCATGCAGACTCGGTTTGTTAACTTTACGATTTTTCCTGCGTGAAGGAAAAATTTATAAAAAATTACATAAATGAACATATAACGAAGGAGCAATGTTACTCATTGTTACTCATAATTCGTTAATAATAATAAAATAATGAAAAAAATTAGTTTTCATATAAGCACTTACCCTCTGTATCTATACGGTATTTTATTGAAATATTTGTAGGCTAGCAGAACCGACCCAAGTCGCATTGTAAATCAAATTCTATATTATGAGAAAATTGTGAAAATATTTTAAATTTTTATGTTATCCGTAGATATGAGTTATGTTTTCAGACAATACTTCAGCAACTCTCTGCTTTTTGGTTAGAATACAGTTAAGGTTATATATAAGAAAGTTAGATCCTTCTAGCCTTATATTACCCACAATGCAATGAAAATCGATCGCAATACGCAAATGCGATCGAGGAATTAAAAAATGCTAGTTTATTAGAAATGAAACTTGATCTAATAAATAATTAAGTTTTCAGAATATCATCTTACTTTTGATAAATTGTCGCATATGAGAAAAAGAATTAATTTTTCAATTTATTTTTAGTTTGATAATAATTAATTGATAATTGATTTAATATGTAGTAAACAAATATTCTTTTAGAAATTTGTATAACTTCTAATTCTATTGTTCAAAATATCATTTAAAAAGAATTTATAATAAATGAATGATTGTTAATCAAAATAAATTATTTTCATATCTCATTCTTTCCGTTTTTTATTTAGGATTTAAATTCACGTTATTTTTTATCACGTTATTTTTCATCCCAACTTTCGAAGGATGAATCAAGGGATGATACGAGCAAGGATTTCATTATAACTGTATTATATAGCTAAAGTGGACGAGGTACAGATATTGCCCTGCTCTGCAGTAGTAAGAACCAATTTTTCTACAATACAAATAGTATAATATTTCAAGAACACAGTCGATATTTTACAATAAGAGTTCCCTAATTCTTTCCTTTCGTGAAAAACCAACTTGCTTTTTATCGAGTCGTTGCGCATTTCATAAATAAAAACTGGCACACAACTCGCTGCCTATTAATATCAACGGTATCTAAACTCTCCGGATTAGTGTGGCAACCTGTTAGATTAATCCTCAATAGCGAATTGCCTTGTATTGTAATTGCCTTAATATTTAGCACGATCTGAATTTCCTTCTTTTACTAAAGAGACTAGAATTACATTAAAGAAAAGAATTATGTTGAATATTATTTTGATTATTAACTGGCAGAGAATTGTGGCCTCTTTGCGCTGGCGGTTGATAAATCGGTTGCGTGCTCCGTTGTTGATTTCGTTTTTTATTGTATCCCTTATTCCCACCAACGGCACCGCTTCCACCTCGTCGAAATTCCATGCCTGCTGCAATCATTTTTTTGAAATAAAATTAATATCGAAGTGTCTTACACATTAACAAGGAATATGATTATAAAATTTAATATCTGAAAATGAATTATCAATCATTTACCATTTATGTGATTGTGACTCTGATCGTAACGCGGCTGTCGATTGTTAAAACGCTGATCCTGCCGCCTTGTATCCGAAACCTGATCCTGAATCTGAAACTATCACGATAACTAACCGATGGAATATCGGCAACAAAGACATTACAATTTCATGTTATTTTACATACGTCATCTGTTATTGGTATACAATCCACCTGGAGCACTTCCTCATAGTTTTCAAATCCCTTAAATTGCACTACGCAAGTCCTCTCAGATACCCCAGTGACTTCGGCATTGTAATACTGTAAATTACATACAGAAATATTTAAATAATGCCTAATGTATAAAAACAAAGATAATACATACCCTATTATCCTCCCAGTACTTAGCCATACATTTGTCACCTACTCGCCATACCCACGTATTGTTGACGTTGTGACTACTGTAATTATTTTCACTTTTATGTATATTGAAATTCATGGACATCTTATTCCCAATGTTACTATTTGACTGATATCTAGGTTGATTCTTAAAATTTTGTTCATTTGCATTAGATGAATATACTTTAGGGGTTCCGTTTTGTTGCACTCGATTATGCCTATTATAAGAAGCATCATAAGAATGCCTATTTCTCGCCTCGGACTCGAGGTGATTATAATTTCTGTTGCTACCGAGATTCTTTCCTTGTAACTCAGTTTGAATCTTGTTATAGTTATCATTACCACTATCGCTGGCATTTGCATTACTAACACGCGACTGAGCAAACGTATTTCTGTAATCATTCGGCTGAGAAGATTTCTGATACGCTTCTCTGCCGCCATCGTGCTGATACTGATACTGAGGTTCCTGGTTACGTTGAAACCGTGGTGGTTTGTTCTGCTGTGCGTGACTAGCGCCATTATATTGCGAGTACATGTTGGAATTACTGTTGTTCGTTCGTTTACTATTTTTATGTTCCTCTGAATATCTCGGAGGAGGTTGATAACTACGGCCACCTTTTTGATTTCTATCAGGCAAAAACAAATAATATAAATAAGGGCTACTGCAATGTTTTGTTAAATATTTCATGATTCTGTTTAGATAATTACATACCGTCCACCTCTTCCACTTTGTGTATCGGTACCTCTCGATTCGAAACGATCTTGATTGCTTTCATTATTTTGCACGTAGTTGTTTTGCGACGAATTGGTTGTTTCGACGCTTTCTGGTTGCACAGGTAGTTTATCTTCGAGAAAATCGAATAGGGATATTTTTCCGCTACTAGGTTTACTCTCCTCGGTTTTCTTCTCTCGTTTACCACGTGGTTCTCGCGGTTCTCGAGATTCTTTAGTGTTACTGCAATAAAATTATAATACGATATTAACTAAGTACAATGACGTAAAATAATGAAAATAAATAAAATAAATTCCCTTACTTGTGTTTGCTATCGGTCCTTTGCAGGCTTCTCAGAGCTTTATCTACATTATTTCTGTTAACTCTCAAAGCATATTCCGCTTGCTCTATGGTAAATCCATGGTCTACAATTTTTTGTACGCTGTGATCTAATAACTAAGAAAAAAATATGTATAAATTAGATTTTAGATATCCATAAAATATTTTATAAGAGAAAATAAAAAAAATCAAACCTGTTTATTTCCACCGCCAAATACTTTCTTACTGCCCTGCTTGGCAGCTTCTGCTATTGCATCCTTACGTTGAGCCTCGAATTCTGTATTCTCCTTATTAGACTTTTCTTTTTCCACTAAAGCTTTGAAGTTCTTATCTTGTTCTGAAACTTTTATTATTTTTTTACCAAATGGAATCCATGGTGGTGGTCCACCTTCTTCAGCAGATCTTACTCGAGTGTGTGAAGCCAATTTCTGTAACAAAAACAGTCCTATATGTTTACCTACATCAAGATTACTTATTAATATCAAAGTAAAATAGTATAGTACAATACTAATATCTTTTTAAAGAAACTGCAGTTTACCTTATTTAATTCCCACTTTTCCACTAAATTGGCAACTTTTCCTCCAAGTACAGAAACTAAATGAGATGGTCTCAATAAAAGAAGACCGTGCGACACAGGTAAAGTTCCTGACTTTATTAATATCTTTGTACCAGGTGGCGTATTTAAACTATAACATATAAAATAAATGATTAGATAAAAAAAAACTGGAAAAACAATATAACAGACACAATCCAATCCCTTACCTTAAAGTCGATATATGTTCAACTTCTAAGGCTTGAAAATTATTTTTTCCATCTGTCAACGATAATTTTAACATTCGAGGGGCTGCCTTCGATTCCTCATTTCCTTTGGGTGCAGATACGTTACGTATTTTTTGTATTTGTAGCACAATATTACCCTGACTGATATCTCCATTTCCACTGCCAATCTCTCTCAAGTCGAGCTGTAAATAATTTAATCTTTTCTCTTTCACTCGTGTCTTTCAATTAACTCCTTATGCTGCAAAGCCCAATAGCTTGTTTATAAAAAAAAAAAAATCACGCAATACATACGTCTAACAGTCGTTTTACTATCTTCTGCATATCCGTCACGTTACCCGAATCGGTTGCTATATTATAACCATGATCAGACAAATACCTAATAAAAGAGGGACAATACGCACAAATAAATATACACAAATTAATATAAACGACAGCTGCGATTATTGAACTTCAAGCGATCGTGAATCACTCGTGTAGAGACGAATAAATCCTTTCTTCTAGAACATCAGAACAAAGAGTAAACGAGTACACTCTACTCACCATCCCAATGCCTCCAAACTCTCCATGTCCGTACAGAATTCTCGCTCTCTGTTCGACAAGGAAAATTCGCTCGCGTCTCATTGAATCGACGCAGCCACCGTCTCTTTATTACGTGCCGTTCGTGAATGTGCAACTCGTCGCACGCGACCGCGCGTATACAAACATCTGACAGCTGACACGCGTTTCAAGGTGCGACACGGCGGATCGTCGGAGGAAAATCGAGCCCTCGGAGATCACGACGATTCGGCCGTTCGAGCACCTCGAATCTCGTCGAGCTGCGATTTCCGCAGGCACGGCTTGAGACAGAATCGCACCGGTGCGGCGATCAACAAAACACTCAAACGTAGGAACCGCACCTATTCAATCTGAAAACACTCGTCGCCATCTTGCATACTCGGTGCGAGCGTGTGTGTTCCAGCCATAGTCGTAAAAATAACCGACCGAGCAACCGGGTGCGCCTTCCACGCCAATGCTTCAGCAGCCACGCGCAAAGCGGTTTTAAATTATTAATAATAAAAATATGAAAATAGTGCGACAATAATGACATGAGAAATATTGAATAATATAAGTGATGTATGTGTTTTATAAAATTTGTATATTCGAAATTTACTATGCAAATGGATAATAAATTTTAATTATATGATTTTGAATAAACAATTGCTTTTTTTTAATTAAATATTAATATGATTCTCGTGATATTGCATTTATTCTGCAATATCCGGATGAAATTGATCATATTTCGAACTTTTTGAATTTTTTGTCGTCATTTCATTAATTTAATATTTTGATATTTGACAATAATATTCATACATACAATGTTTTGTGAAATTTATTATTTAAAGATTTAATCGTACAGAGCAACTGGCAAAAATCATATTATATTTCGTAATGGATATATTTATTTTTGACTTTTACTTTGTACGTTTATTCTTTTATAATTTGAAATAATAATATAAATATTTGTTACTATTTGCTATTCAAGATTTGCATACAAAGTGAGCATCTAAATGCAAAGAGATACAATAATATCTATGAATGATGTATAAAGTTATTTTCCAATTTCTTTCACTACACAACTTCATGTTGCAATTTAATTTAATAAGTAAAGAATAAAAATAATAATAAATAAATAAATAAATAAATATTAAATAGATGTGCATATGATTAATGTCGGAAGTCTAGTTCATTATTTTGCGGTTTTATTATTTTTGATAATAAAATTACTTTCACGAATAATCATACGTTTCATAATGAAAAATTCGCCGCTGAGTGCATCGCATCGCGCCGACGGTACAAACATGCGAGAGTTCCAATGAAAAAGCTCCGTGTGACCGTAGTATTACTTATATATAAATGAAATGTATTAATTATGTAAGATTGAAATATGTGACAATGATTAGAAACAACTTAAGTATATTCATTTCAAAATTATATTTTATAAAAGTTTATTTGTATTAAAATTATTTAAAAATAATACTTGATAAATCTATGAATCAATAAAAAAAATGAAATAAAAAATATAGAAATTATTAGAAAATAAGTGTAGGGAATAAACGTGCAAGTAATGATAATATTTGATGTAATATCCGATAAAAATTGCAGACAATATAATATCCAAAATCGGGATGACCTTTTAAAAAGATTATATATAATAAAAGATTATATCTTCCAATTTTAAATTTGGAAATTGTGTTTTCTGGAACAGATCAATTTGTAGAGGCCCTCCATCACCCCCGCCAATTTTGATCGACGAATCTCTTTTCTTTACATGTATATTTTAAATTCTTTTACATTTATTATTTTTATACAATATAATTTAATATTGAAAATATATAAAAATAAGGTTAAATACTTTCGTCATAACTTGAACCACTATTTGCCATCGTATTGTTTATATAAATAATCTTTATTGCATAATTAACATGTAAAAATCTATATTTTTATATTCTATGTGTCGCCACATTTACAATTTTGCATAATTCTCTTTAAAAATGGGTTTAATTAATAATGTAAACCTTACAAAAGAGAAATCCGTTTAATTTTTTTGTTTGAGATGAATACAAGCAGCGCTATATTGCATGCCAATCCCTTATGGGGGGGGGGGGGAATTCAAAATTGGCGTGCAAGATAACGTAAAAACTACTCATCTGATTGAGTTCTTCTTGCATTTAGATAAATACATTCCTCATAACTTGAATCTCTATTTGCAATTGTCGTTTATATAAATAATTCTTATTGCATAATTAATTTGTGAAAATCGATATTTTCGTGTCGCCACTTTTATAATATTGCATTATTAAGCATGAGATAAAATAGGTTGAAGAATTCCTTCTCTTTTTGAAAAGAACGGACCTTAATTAATCTATGGACTAGGATTCGGGGAGATACAAATAAATACATCATGTGTGTCGGATTTTCGGAAGAGGATTGCCTTTCAAAGTTATTGTTATGAATTGGAATTTTTTTGGATTTTTCAGAAAGGTAAAAAAGATTCAAGTATCTGCATTTTGCACAAGAGATTTTTGTACAAAGGATTTAATACCTAAAATTGATGCCAATTCATAGTCGTCAGTAAAATTTAATACAAATATTGCATTTGTGTGTATATAGATCATATATTGCATCATTCTGCTGTACATTTAATTTCAAATTGTATAAAATGGTTTTAAGACCAAAGTAATATTTCAAAGTTTAGTACCGCTTGGAAGTGTATCATTTTGAAAAATAAATTATCGTACGACGGTGGCTTGATTAACCCTTGAATGATGATTGCTTCAATTAGGATCAACGATTACTACTTGGGTGGAGCAGCCGCTAAACAAACTTTGAAATTGCCGTTTACAATGAGTCCGAATGGATACTAATTTTGAAAATGACAAAAGCATGTGATATACGTGATATATAACCAAGACTCACCTTTATTGAATTAGTAACATCTCATTTTTTTTTTTTTATTAAGAAATATTATATATAAAAAATATATACTTATTAAATGATTCAAAAAGAGCAAATTATATGATTCAAAATAACAATTTAGACTAAATATCTTTGTTTAATTTATCAGAATTTATTGTAATGTTAGAGTAATAAATAATTATATATTATGTTTAGAGAGTTGTGATTTATTTTAGACTGAAAATTTTTACTTTTAAAAATGTTTCAAGAGACCGATTGCTTAGCGCTCGCCAGATTAAGATTCTGTGCAATAAAAGTGCCATATACCATATTTATTTTAGCGGCAAAGATCGTTCAATTTCTTGGAGCAATTATCAAGATAATATTAAATTAACAGATCATTTCTACAGGCAGCGGATGGCTTGATTGTCACATCCAAATTCCTATTCGAAAGTAGGGCCTCGTGAAACAAGAGTCCCCAAGAAGCGGTCCTAAGTGTACGAGTGTATCGTAACGCATCGCGTACGCGATGTACACACGCGTGTACACGTGTGTATGTACACGTGTTAGCGCATATGTGCCAATGTGTTCCCCACTTTCGTTGGTCTCTCCCCTCCCCCCTCCCTCGTGGATTTTCCTCGTGCATCAGCTCGCACACAATGGCTCGCACTATAGTCAGGCCACGATAGGTAGTAACGCGTACGCAACGTGTATGGTATAGTAAGCGATGACTCGAGAGAAGCGAGAGAAAAAGAGAGAGAATGGAAGAGAGACGGAGGGACTCTACTACGAGAAGCCGCAAAGGGAGGGAGAACAGGAGGGAAACAGAAGGACAGAGATCGAAAGAGAGAGTGTGAGCGAGGCAGAAGTTCACTCGGTCTTACCGTTTCAGTTTCACTCCGACTCGGTCTGAAATCGCGCGCGTCTCTCACTTGGCCCCGCTTTGATTTCCGAATTTCTCTCGAATTGGTGATAAAATCGAATTCGAGCCGACATCGCGAAACCTAGACATTTTTCCGAAACGAGGGAGCCCCTCGTCGTCATTTCTTCCGTGGAGACCTCCGGGGAGGCTTTCCACGAGGGAGAAAGGAATCGTTTGTTTCTTCCGCCGATTGCTGCCGGCTGGAGAGAAAGGGACCCGGCCAGGAACCAGCGTGAGTAAAGATGTTGAGCAATTGATCGGCGTTAGAGGATATATTTAATTATCCGTGGTTTCTCACGAAAATAATTTTTTCTCTCTGCCTCGTCTCGAAGTTTGCCAAAGGAACGTTTGCCAAAGTTGCCACGCGGTGATTCATCGGCGAACCGCCATTTAACGCACGTCGGTTAAATATGAATCATTTCAGTTTTATGTTTTATGTTTTATGGCGATTTGTTATGTCCCGCAAAAAGTGGAAGTTTCAATGAGAAATATCCACTTTTTGTAGAGGAACTCGTTCTGAGAATGTTTAACGTTTGAAATTGACATTAACGTCGGTAGAAGCGAAGTCGCCAGCACGCATAAATAGTCACGTGGACTTATTTCAAATTTTAAGATAAACAGCTCGCTTAACTTAACGGACAGTTTTATTATAACATTGTGTTAAAGACGTGAATCAGAAAGGAAGTATAATTAGAGATCATCTAGTTCATTGAGAAAATATGTGGATTAACTTACGCCCACAATAGATGTTACGCTCAGATAACATCAATCTGCCAAATGGCCAAATGGGAATAATAATAGAAACTTTCTTAATGTGTTAATTGAATTTACACCTAACGACTGCGATGACTAATAAATGAGAAAGTTGCTGAGCGTGCGATTAATTGCGAATTTACCGCTCAGTTTTATTGTCTTTATGTTTTCATGTAATCTTTATATCATTTCATATCATTTTGACAAGGCAAATTCTGATTATTGTTAACTTAAAAATCTGACGAATAAACTCATGATAATTAAATTAATTTACTCTTCATCAAGTTGTTATGTCGTCAAATTTGTTGGTTTTTATTGGTTTTTATTAAGGAAAATAAAAGTTTTATTTCTTAAACTTTAGTTTTCTGTTTCGAATTTTCTGACAAGTAAACGATTAAAAAAATATTTTATAAAAAAATATGTGATTAATATAAAACATTTTGGAGTATTATTAAACGAAAGTTCTCTCTATATTAATATTATTATAATAATATAATAATATTAATATAATTATAATTAATTAGAATATATATATATATAATGTTAATTAGAATATATATATATATATATATATATATATATATCATACTATACATACTATATATATA